AGAGATGACGGCTGCGGCGGAACGAAAAACGGTCGCCGCTGCACAGTGCCTCCAGCACCAGTACCGCCAGCTCCAGCAACACCAGCGCCAGCACCTCCAGCTCCAGGGTCTCTAGCTCCAGTGCCTCCAGCGCCAGCGCCTCCAGCTCCAGCGCCTCTAGCTCCAGTGCCTCCAGCTCCGGCGCCTCCAGCGCAAGTGCCTCCAGCTCCAGCGTCTCCAGCTCCATCTCCTCCAGCTCCAGGGTCCCCAGCTCCAGTGCCTCCAGCCCTAGGGTCTCCATTTCCAGCACCTCCAATACCACCAGCTCCGGCAGCTCCAGTACCTCCAGTATGAGCACCTCCAAAACCAGCAGCTCCAGCACCTCCGGTACCTCTAGCTTCAGCAGTAACTCCAGCTCCTCCAGAACTAGAAGCTCCAACACCTCCAGCTCCAGTGCATCCACCTCCAGCGCCTCCACCGCCAGTGCCTCCAGCTCCAAGGTCTCCAGCTCCAGTGCCTCCAGCGCCACGGTCTCCAGCTCCAGCGCCTCCAACACCACCAGCCCAGGCAGCTCCAGCACCATTAGTACGAGCACCTCTAGGACCAGCAGCTCCAGCACCTCCAGCTCAAGTGCCTCTAGCGGCAGAGCCTCCAGCTCCTGCAACGCCACTCCTACCGCGTGTGCGCTGAGCAAACCACTTGCGTAGCTGCTGCGGTAAGAGAGGCTCCCGCCGATGAGGCAGTCGTCGCGAGGCACCCGCAGGACCTCCGGCAGATGCAGCACCCCTAGGCTCAGCACCCCCAGACTCTGCACCCTCAGACTCAGCACCCCTTGGCTCCGCACCCTCTGGCTCAGTACCCCCAGGCTCCGCACCCTCAGGCTCAGCACCCCCAGACTCTGCACCCTCTGACTCAGCACCCCCAGGTTCCGCACTCGCAGGCTCAGAACCCCCAGACGCAGCACCCCTAGACGCAGCACCTCTAGCAGCACTTGAGTCTACAGCGACCTCGACAGGCACAGCCAGAGGGAGTGGGTCTACCTGAGACACACCTAAGGGAGCAGGACCATGAGGGGGGAGGGGGTCTACCGGAGGGGGACCTGGAGCGAGGAAGAGCGGTGGGGGGGGGAGAGGGGCAGTGCGGTAAGGGAAGAGATGGTAAAAGGGAACCGACTCGTCAAACGTGACGTCCTGAGAAGGGAAGACACGGCGCAAGGTGGGGTGCTAAAGCTGCCAGTCACGCGCGTCAAGGGGAAAGCCAAGGAAGACGTAGGGAATAGCCCGGGAGGAGAGCTTGTCTGCGGAAGTATCGCGGACAAAGGCACGAGAGCCCCAGACCCGGAACACCGACGCATCGCCAACCTTCCCCGTCCAATGCAGTGTAGGCGAAGTCTCTGGCAAAGAGACACGGGGCCAGAGGTTGAGCTGATGCGCAGCGTACTGGACCGCAAACGGCCACAGAAAATGGGGAGCAGCCACATGGACCATGGAGGTACAAGCCACCTCCATGACTAAGCCAATGCGGCGCTCAGCAACCCCATTTTGCTACAGGGAGGCAGGAAGCGTGAACGATTGGAGAATGCCCTCCCCATGACAAAAGTCCCGCAAGAGGTCGGAGGAGAACTCACCACCTCTGTCAGAGTGCAGACGCAGGAAAGGAAGGTCCTCGCGGAACCACTCGCGGAGCTGGAGACGGACTGCGCGGATCCAAGGGATCAAGACATCAGGGACCTCACCCTTGCTGCGCAAGGGGAAGACCGTGGTGTAACGCGTGTAGTCGTCAACAACCAGCAGGAAGTAGCGCTCACGGTCCTGTCCACTTTCACGGGCTGGGCCCCACACGTCCATGTGGAGAGTCTGCAGGGGAGCAGTCGTCCGGGGAAACGAGGAGGATTGAGGAGTGGCGCGTTGCCGCCCCTTGACGCAAGGAAGGCAGGGCGAGGCAGGCGAGGGCGGGAGGGGAGGCAGAGACCTGGGAAGACCAAAAACAAGGAGGCGGGAGTGCATGCCACAAAGGCGTGGCAGGGAGGGGTGACCAAGGCGGTGGTGCTACAAGAGAGTCTGGTGCGACAGGAGGCGACACGAGCAGGGGGCTGCTACCGGACCTGACGCGAACACCTGAGCAGACGCAGCTACATGAGGAGGCTCAGCAGTCAGTGTGTACAGACTCGACCCAGGCCGACGGATGAACGTGGCCAGGTGACGGCCCGTCCGTGTACACGTGCAGATCAACACACGCTGACCCCCAGGAGTGGTGGTAGTGACCATCGCATCCTAGAGGGCAGTGGTACTCACCAAGTTCGTAGAGAACGAGGGGAGGTGAAGACCTGACAGTGAGCCGAACGGAACCGCCGGACACGGGAAAATAGTGGAGGAACTGGCAAGGACTGGGCCCCCGGAGGGGTCATCCAGACTGACTGGAACAGGTGTAGGGAGTGGAGTGAGGGTGGTACTGTCGCGAAAGAAACAGCGGGAAGCACCTGAGTCAAGCGTAAAGGTGTGCAAGGCCTCAGCAGGCGCAGTACCAGGGAGAGCAGACTCACTAGCACCTAGAGCAGCAGCCTCTATACCTGGGTTGGGCGGCACACACAGGTAACATTCACCCTCAGCACTAACAGACAAGGCATACATGGCAGCAAGGATAGCATCATAGTCAAGAGTGGGGGCGCTCAGCCTCGTCTCCAAACTCTGCGCGCCAAGCGTCGTCAAGGCGGGAGAAGCAGCGGTGCTGAGATTGAAACTTCCAGCATGCCTGACCAGAGCGGTCACCCTTGCGAATGACATGCGGGCAGCGAACACTACCCCCAGATGCTCCAGGCTGAGCAAACCACTCACGAAGCTGCTGGGGCGTAGGGGTCTCGCTCCGACGCTGCTGCTGCTGCCTCTGGCCACCGCCAAAACCTCCCCGCTGAACAGCTACACCCCATCCGCCACCACTGCCACCGCCACCACTCCCACTGCCGCCACCACCGCCACCCCCACCCCCACCACTGCCACCACCGCCGCCACCGAACCCCCACTCCCGCCACCACTCCCACCACTGCCACCACCTCCGCCACCTCCACCGCCTCCACCGCCTCCACCACCACCACCCCCGCTGCCACCGCCACCACTCTTGCCATCCTTGCCCTTGCTGCTGCGGCGCTTCCCACTAAGAGCAAGAGCAGCCCCGACATCCTCAGCACCAAGGATGTCAACAGCAGCAGCAGAAGCGTAGGAGGGGGCAAGGGGGGAGAGGGGACACCCCTCAAAGAAGGGTGTGCGAGGAGTGCCATGAGCAGCACCTACAGCGACTACGCTAGTCTTAGCTGCAAGGAGGTGCTTCTTGAGCAGGTCGACAGTGAATTCTGTGGGGTCAAGTGCGAGAAAGTGGTCCCTGACAGTGCGAAGAGAGTCAGGGAGGCAGGTGACTATGAAGTAGAGAGCGATGTACATCGGGGGCCGGTTCCTGTCTAGGAACTCGGCTGGGAGGGCAGCGCGGTAGCGAGTGTCGCTAGTGCAAAGGTGGGTAACGAGGTCCTCGACTGTGGCAAAGGCTGACAGCTCGGGAAACAGGTAGGCCAGTATAAGGCGGGCGAGAGCAGCAGTGGCAGGGGAAGAGTAACGAGCGACTACAGCGTCGTACAGGGTTTTAGCAGTCTTGTGCTGGCCAAAGTGAGCGCGTTCGGCTAACGGTAGGTGGTTGCGAACGGCTAAGCGAGCAGCAGTGTCACGGGTAAGCCACTGTGAGCGAGTCGCACTGTCACCTGTGGCGGGAGGGGCGAGAGAGGCTCCAGACGTGTGGTCAAACAACGAAACGCCATCTCTAGAATCGCTCAGTAGGTACAGCTGTAAGTCGTCGAGCCACGTATCGAACTGGATCAGACGGCCCTCATGATCGAAGGTGAGTACACTGAGAGAAGCCATAGCGGGCAGAGCAGGGTGGCGCACGACCAGCAGGGCAGCACGCAGGCAGGGCGGCGCGCGAGCACTAGAGAAGCGCGCAGGGCAGGGAGAGGCAGCGCACGGCTAGGGAAGATGGCGCGCAGCCATGGTAGGGCAGGGCGGCGGCCAGCAGGGCGGCGCGTGGGCAGGGCAGGGCGGTGCGACCGCCAACAGGGCGGCGCGCGGGCAGCAGGGCGGCGCGGGCAGGGCGGTGCGGGCAGCGGTGCGGCTGGCAGCAAGGCGGCGCGCGGGCAGCAGGGCGGCGCGCGGGCTGCAAAGGGCGGCACGCGGGCTGCAAAGGGTGGCGCGGCAGGCTGTATAGGGCGACGCGCGGGCTGCAAAGGGCGGCGCGCGAGCTGCAAAGGGCGGCGCGCGGGCTTCAAAGAGCGGCGTGGTGGCCAGCAGGGCGGCGCGTGGGCAAGGCAGGGCGGCGCGTGGGCAAGGCAGGGCGGCGCGGCAGCCAGCAGGGCAGCGCGCGGCTAGCAGGGCGGCGCGACAGGCAGGGCAGGGCGGCGCGCGACTGGGAGGGCGGCGCGATGGGCAGGGCAGGGCGGCGCGCGACTGGGAGGGCGGCGCGATGGGCAGGGCAGGGCAGGGCAGGGCAGCGCGAGTAGTGGGGCAGCGTTATTCTGTGGGCCCTAAAAAAAAACGGTCCTGGAGCAGGACCTGCTCTGAAACCATGTCAGAATACTGAACGAGAATGGATCAACTATGAGTGAGCTGGGTACAAGTACTAACCCTAATTGGGTTGTACCCCATTATGGGCTACCCCACTACAGCCTACACAATGTAAGCACTAAAACATTTTGACAGTAAAGTGACGTGCGTGCCACAGCTCTGCAGTTTCAGAAATCGCCCTCACGCGATTCTGATTCTGGACGCTGTAAAGTTCCGATTCGATTGAACTAACGAGACTGAAAAGTACAATTTGGTGCGTTTAAGTTGTATTTCTGTATTTGTCATTATATAAGCGCCAGCGCTTATGGCCAATACTCAATTACAAGCGCCCCCCTTAAAAAAACTGATTTTATTATAAGCGCATATGCGCTACTATCGGGGGTGATACGGTGCGAAGAATATTATGCAGGTCAACACAGGTCAAAGCAAGTCCAGCAGCATGTTATACAGCAATCTGGTCCACTCATCAGGGGGCCCAGGCAGGCAATATTGCAGGCAGTCAGAGGGCGGCCGGATGTGCCCATCAGGTCTTAAAGCGGTCATAGGGTCAACATCCAGGAACACACCCCCAACTTCCTTCACCAGCCGCTTGGCCCACTCGTTCTGGGCGGCAAACTCCCCCCAATGGTTGGGTAAGGACGAGGGGTCTTGACGCTCTGTGATTGGTGCAAGCAGCTGGTCACAGTGAGCGTGGCCGGGCGGCGTGCTTCGATAGATTATGAGGAGTTCCGGTGCCGCAGCTCTCACTTTGGTCAGGGTTTCGTTCAGCTGAGGAATGAACTTATCATCCTCCACAAAGTGTGACCCTCGATTCAGTATAAGCACGGAAATGTTACTGCTGCTGTCGTTGCTGCTGCTGCTGCTACTGCTACTGGAGCTGCTACTAGAGGGGACAGCCTTGATCTGGTCGAACCAGGGCAATGAGAGGGTTGATGCGTCCGCAGATCCGGCAGCGGGATCCTGGGCTGCAGGGTCGGTATTGGGCGGCGAGGTTCGGAGGACGTCGTCCCGAACGAAGAGGACAGATGCGGAGTCGCCGAACGTGAATTGGGTGCAAACAGGAAAGTCCTGCTGCTGACGCAGGTCCAGTCTTGCACAGAAATCTGGCACCTCATCCCGCACCATTCTCCGATGCTCCAGCCCCTCATACCCCCCTCCCCCTCCTCCCTTTTCTTTCCCCGCCCCTCCTCCTCCGGCTCCTGGCATGAGCATGTGGTTGCGGAGGGACAGAAACAGCATCGCGCTTGTTTCATCCCCCACCATCAGCACCCTCCGCCCCGCCAGCCTCCCTGCCAGCTCACCCCTCTCCACCGCACTCCACCGCCCGCACCTCCTGTGCACCCTCCACCTGTATTTCGCCGCGTCCCGAACCTGCCACTCCCGCGCATGCCGAGCCTCATCAGCTACAGCATCGGCAGCGGTGAAGGCCAGATTGCCAGTTTCAGAGGCTTGGCGGGACCAGGCAGCATCGCACTCCCAGCCGGACCAACCCTTTCGGAGTTTGAACCATGGGAGTTGGCGGGGAACCGGGTCTAAATCCCAGATGCCCTGGGTAGCGAGGCACTCAAAGCGCTGCTCGAATGATTTCAGGGCGTGTTCGGTGAGGAGGGTCGACCCCGGGATGACGGGCTTGGGTTGGTCCGGTGCTGCTGGTTGTTGCTGCTGTGGGTATTGGCTGGAAAGGGGTTCGGCAGACGTGTTGGCGGTCGCAGCAGCAGCGGCAGTTGCAGCAGCGGCGGCTGTAGCAGTAGCAGCGGCGGCTACAGCCGCAGCTGCCCCCGGCCCTCCCTCATCCGCTCCCACTGCCACACTCACTGCCCTGCCGTGTGCTGCTAGCAGCTCTTGACATGCGGTGAAGATGCTTGACGATGGGTTGAGAGCGGTGAGAGCGGAGGAGGAGGGGGTGGAGAGAGAGGAGAGGGAGGAGGAGGGAGGGGCGAAGTGGGAGATTTGAGTGGTGGGGGAGTGGAGGGACGACCAGAGGAGGAAGAGGAGGAGGAGGGTGATGGAGGAGAGGAGGGGGGCGACGAGAGGGGGAGGGAGGCGTGAGAGGGAATGCACGCAGAAGAGATGCGCCCTACCCGCCTGCACGTGTGCCCTGGCGAGTAGGTCATGGGTGTATCTGACAAGGAAACAGAGGGGGCAAGGGATGGGGCGGGTGAAATGCGGGAGGAGAGGGCCTGATGAGACAACAACCATGTAGAAGCGATGTGCTCTGCCCGCCTGCACGTGTGCCCTGGCGAGAAGGTCAAGGGATTTTGACGTGGAAAAAGGGTGGTAAAGGGGAAGGTGGGTGGGGGGAGGTGGGGAGAGAGGGAGAGGGAGGGGGAAATGCGGGAGGGAAGGGCGTGACGAGGTAACAACATGCAGAAGGGATGCGCCCTGCCCGCCTGCATGTGTGCCCAGGCTACCAGGTCATGGGCGCCCGTGGTGAGGAATAGAGGGGGAAGGAGGGAAGAGTGAGGGGGAAAGAGGGAGCGGGAAAGAGGGAGGGGGAAATGCGGGGAGAGAAGGGCGTGATGAGACAACAGCACAGCACGCAGACGAGGTGTGCCCTGCCCGCAGGCACGTGTGCTCTGGCGAGTAAGTCAAGGGAGATTGAAAAGAAGACAGGGCGAGATGAGAGATTGCGGTGGGTTGAGAGAGGTTGGTGGGGATGAGGGAGTGGCATGATTGAACCCCTCGCAAACCAGATGAGTGCAATGGAGGGGCAACGGAGGGAGCAGAGGAGAGGGTTCAGGAATTAGGGTTAAAGTAGGCGCCTGGAAGCACGTCCTATGGTGTGTGGATGTGCGAGCATGATTTGTTCGCGCGTACTCGCATTCGCATTCGCATTCACGCGTAGTTGAGGACCCCTTGCGCAAGTGTAAACTCCCAAATAGCATGCGCATGCAAGCAGCTTTATAGGCGCCTCAGGGGCACATGCAAATTGTTTTTTTTTTCAAAACAAAATGTTCCCATACCTTCCATTGGAGCGCATTCGCATTCGCAATCACATTCGATATCGCATTCGCATTCGCATTCGCATTCGGAGTCGTGGGATAATCTGACTCTTTTTTCCCTTACATTTTCACGGACTCGAGTGTGTGCGCGCTAAAGAGCTCCCCGCTTTGGTACTTGCGCCAGACGGCCCCGACATTGTTCTTCGCCGTTTCGTACGAAAGCATCGCCCAGCGCTGCACCTGCATCGCCGCGTGGCTCGTCACCAGTCGTCGCACGCCTCGCACGGGGTCGTCCACGCATTCGCGAAACGCATGTGCGACGCTCTCCGTGCCGCCACGTGGACTGCCTCCTCCATGTCGCGACGTCGGCGCCATGCCTGCTACCTCTTGTCTGAAGACTGTGCTACCTTCTTCCCCCCCACACTCACTCCACAAGAAATAAGACTGTACCGCTTCGCAGGATCTTAGTCTAAACACGTCTACGAAACTCTTGGTCTAAGCAGTTAAATCGATATATTATTGGATGTCTGTAAAACGCTCCCAAGGAATATTACTATCAGTTCTCCTCACACAGGATAAGCTTGTAGACCCGCGTCGGAGCTTGCACAAAAGACCATCAATAAGCTTATACTGGTTATCAAATATAAAAGTGGTACTAAACAGCTGCTGTAGGTAGAGACGCTGAGCGGTCACAAGCGGTGGAATGCAGTTCTACTGGAATTTGAGAATGTAGTCGACTGTAAGGTAGGCAGACCGTTCAGAGGCTATTTTCTAACACTAATTAGTGGAAACCAGTACGACGTCAAGTGTTAGTCCATGAAGGTACCGGCGCGTACACGGACCAATCCGTAGTTCGGATCCAAAATGCAGCCAATTCAGCTTGTCACGACAGCCGTTCGGCACCCATCGTAAACCATCGGTCTACGAGCTTAGTCGGCGCTCTGCCAGCCGTTTTGCACAACAACCTCCAATGTAGCACCTCAGGAGGTAAGCTAGCCGTTTGCTATCGGAAGAGATAAGAAATGAGGTAAAGCCAGAGGAGCATACTATTTTCTACCTACCAATGGTAGGTGACGTCACGTGGTTTTGGTTAGATTCCAGGGAACGATCTCCTGGTTGGTTGGCTTGTGTGTTATTGTTACGGGTGCAATGAATCGAGGTAGCGAGGATTGCACTAGAGTACAAAGTATGAGCGAAGGCATGAGAGAATACACCTAGTCCGCGGTATTTTAACCGCCGCTATCTTAACCGCGCGAGGGTACTTCTCCTTGGTCAAACTTGTTTAAACGAGTAGTTTGAAAATTAATGAGGGTAGAATCTAGCATTCCCGTCGCGAGATCACGGCAGTTAAAACTCTGCCAATACCGATATGCCCCCTATCTCGGACCACTAAGTGTGCGTTTCTTCAGACGGAAAGGCATCCCGCTGTAAAATAATAACCTCAAAGTCTCTGGGTGCCCATATCATTACCCGAAAACGAATAAAGGGTGTTTGAAACAAAACAGTTCACGTGGTTAAAATACCGCGGACTAGGTGTACTTGCGAAAACATACAACAGTTACGTGGTGCGTGCGAGCTAGCTAGTGCTACGCTGGCATGGAGGTTCGGGCTAGTCCCGAAGTGTAGGCCGACTCGGCTAGGCCAGCGATGCAAGGTTTGGTGAAACAGTGCGCGCGAAGTTGACGAAGCCCCGTTAGCAATAACGGGCGAACAACAGCTGTTGCTGTACGCGATGTTGATGGTCGCGATAAGGAATGTCGAGAAAGTTCCTTACACTACCCCCCCCCCCCCTCAAGAAGCCCCCTCCGCTACGCGAGTGCGTGTATATCGCGGAAACCCCGGTTCCTCGAGTACACTTGCAGGGCAGGGTGGTTTTCAATGTTGACCAGAGGCACCCAGCTATCCTCAGTTGACGTGCGGTCCTTCCAGCGAACGAGGAACTCGATCCTCTTGATGCCTGTGGGGTGTCGAATCCGATGGCTCAGAATCTTTTCGGGCTCAATGATCGGCTCCGATGCAGGGGGAGTCATGGATGGCAGGCGGTGACGAGGCAGTTGGCTCGTGGTTGGGATGTAAGGGCGAAGCAGGCTGACGTGGAATGATGGGCTTATGTACCAGTCTGACGGCAACAGTAATTGGGCGGTAACTGGGGTGCAGGGCTGAATTTATCAGACTAAAATAGTCTGATTGTCTGAAATCTCAGGGTATTTTCCTACGGATCCTGATTTTTCAGACTTGTAAGATTTTCAAACATGAGTGCCTCAGACTTACTTGGTTTTGGATCCTGAGATTTTCAGAGTACTGACTTAGCCGATAATGGGTCTTCATACTGCAGGGAGTACGGATCCTGAAATGCGGATCTGTGATTTCTACGTACATTCCGCTACGTCATATGTTGCCAGTGTACGAACACACTTCATGGCGCTGTCACGCGCAGAATCTGTCCTTGGCAACTTTTGCCACCCTTTTCCCTTAGAAATCTGCCAACTTGGCTCACTCTTCCACTCACGCGGGACCATCACTGCAGCTACGCGGTGTCAGCGAGGGAAACTGGTTAGCGTTGCGCCCCACGTGCTACATTTGTGGCAGTACTGTACTGCAGTGGTTGTGGTGTGTTCTGAGTACTTCAGACTTGTGTTTTTGCGGAACCTGAAAAATCAGAGTGGCCATTCTCTGGGAAATATGCCTCAGACTAAAAATTTTCAGAGCCCCCAGAACATCAGACTGGATTTTTTTGAATAGTCAGCCCTGCTGGGGTGATTATTGTTGGGCTGAGAAAGCCCTTTAGGATCTTTGCAGGACAGAATTCAAGAGTAGGGTGATGTAGTAGCGGAAGCGTTTAATTAAAGGATTGTGAACCACCTTGCGCTTGTGTGTGAGGGCAAAGTAAGTTGATTAAACAAAAGAGATACAAGTTTTTATAGGAATACAAAGGAATATGAAGAGATACAGTTAATAACTGTTTTACTGTTGCTGTTGCGGTTCGATACAGTGTCGACTCGGGCAACTGCTCAGTATCGAGACAGTTGTTTGTCCTTGCTGTCGCGCTGCATTTGTCAGGTCAAAGGTCGCTGACCTTTGACTTTCGCGTAACCTCCAGCAGTTATTCAACCTCCGAGGGTTGACTCACCGATGTTTCGATACGATCTGCTTCGCTTCTGTCTTGGTGTTTCGACACGACAGAGGCGCTTAAATCAGTTGTTTCCAACACTCCCCTTCGCTTCTGGAGTGTCGCTGCAGGTGACGTGGCTCTGTCCAGTCAGCAGCATGCAATATTCGAACTTCGACTTTCCGAGCTTCTTGGTCAAGTAGTCAGCTGCAATCTCGGATGTGGGGCAGTAAGACAGCTCAAGTCTTCCCTTCTTGATCTCGTCTTTTACGAAGAAATATCGCAGGGCGATATGTTTCGTCCTGTTCGCGAATCCATTTTTGTGGGCGATGCGAATTGCCGACTGGTTGTCGCAAAATAGGGAGAAGCTGGGTAACTGGGCCAGTTTCGCTTCCTCCAGGAGTTCGCGAAGATACAATCCTTCCTTGGTGGCTGAGCAGAGTGCGATATATTCAGCTTCAGCTGAGGAGAGGGCGATTAATTCCTGTTTGCTCGACTCCCACGAAATAGGTCCGATAGGCTCGAGACGGTAGATGTAGCCTGTGCGCGAGCGCCTGTTGTCAGAATCTCCGGCGTGGTCGGCGTCGACGTAGCCAATTAGCTTGGGCGTTGTAGTTATGTTTTTGTAGTAGATCAGGCCGATCGTCGGAGTGCTTACGAGGTAGTGTAGAGCGCGATCGAGCTCCTTCATGTGTTCGTCTTCAGGCCTTTTGAGGTAGGTGGCGAGTTGGCTTGCTGAGTATGATAGGTCTGGACGACAGGTGACGGCCGCGAAGAGAAGGCATCCTAGCTTTCTCTGATAGTTGCGTATGCCGGCGGGTTTCAGTGGAGCAGATTCTGCCTTGTCATTTCCTGCCGTGTAGCGGTATGGCGTAGAGATGGTAGTTGGCGTGAGTGCGAACCGTTTGGCGATGGTGTCGGCATACTTTTCGGCGTTGAGATAGATCGCGTCTTCTCCTTCTTGGATGTTGAGGCCGAGGTACTGCGTGACGGTAGATGAAACCGTGAGCGTAAGATCTCTCTGTAACTCCCCTTCGAACCAAGTAGTGACACTGTCGGTTGACCCGATATAAAGTAGATCGTCTACGTAGACGATTAGTAGAATATAGTCATCGCCTTTCGTGAGCCGGTACATTCCTTGATCGTGCGGTAGCTCCGGGTGCTTCGTCTCGGCGGGAGCCACTCTCTCCACAGGAGCTGCGCGAGTGGTTTGCCCGGCGCTGGAGGCGTGCTGCTAGAGCTGGAGGTTCTTCAGCTGCTGAGGGTGCTGGTGCCGCGGGTCCCGGAGGTGCTCGTACTGGGAGTACTGGAGCTGCTGGGCCTGCGGGTACGACTGGAGCTGGAGCTGCTGAGGGTGTTGGCGCTGAGGCTACTGCTGTCGGTCCTAGAGGCGGTCCTACTGGGGGTGCTACTGGTGCTGCTGGAGGTACTGGAGCTGGAGGTGCTGCTGGCGCTGGTGCTGCCGCTGGGGGTACTGGTGCTGTCCCTGCTGTGTCTGGAGTCGCCGCGCGGCCTCGGCCGTACTTCGTTCCGCTCCTTCAGCAGGTTCTTGGTCTCCCGCCTTCTACTGGTCCTCCTCCTCCCTTAGAGTGTCCACAGCCTGTCCCGTCACAGTTACAGTTACAGCCGGCCTCCCCACTGCCCGCTCCTTCTCCCTACACTGGTCCTACTGGAGGTCTTACTGAGCGTCGTGAGCCTGCGTCTCGCCCTGCGTCGCCTGTCCGTGCTGCTCGCACTAGTGGTCGTGGTTCGCGTCAGCGTCCTCCTCCTGTCCCTGGCATGCACCGGATGTCTCTGCGTCCGTCCACTGCTCCTCTGCGTGCCCCTTTGCCTTCTCCTCCTGAGTCCTCTCTTCCTACTCTTCCTGACCCGGAGTCGGACTCCCTTCGTGCTGCCAGTCCGACTGTCACGCGTCTCCTTGCTACTGTTGTCACTGACCCTTCCTTTGAGTCCACTGCTGCGTCTGCCCTAGTTGCTGAGCTCGTCGACTTTGCTGCTCGCTGTCGTCTAGACTACGCTGCTAGTCTTGTTGCTGAGTCTGAGTCTGTCTGTCCTCCGTCCGTCGGGGGTGAGTGTGCCCTTGGCACGGACGTCCTTGAGGACAGGCAGGAGGAGTTCCAGTGTCTGGCTGCTGCTTCACCTCATCTCGTGTCCGTACTGCTTACCCCTGAGGGAGACCCGGATGCACTTGACATCCCGACTCCGCGCTCTTACGCGGAGGCGATAGAGGGTCCTTACTCCTCTCAGTGGCAGGCAGCTATGGACG